ACTATATTCATAGGTAGCCAAGGTTATAATTTCTTATAATCTTTCCAAAGATGTTCTAATGCATATATACATAAAATTACACATATATGTATATACATATATAAAACAAACATACACTCTTTTCATAAATGGTAACATATACTGCATACATGCACACAGAATATGCATAAAATAAAACCGAGTATCATGGAGATCATTCCTAGATCAGTAAATAAAAGCCTTCCTGGTTTCGGGGGAGGACAGGCTGAATATCATTCCACTGTGGAGCTATCCCATCATTTATTTAATTAATCTCCTGCTGTACTGATGGGCATTTAAGTAATTTCCAATCTTTTGCCATTATAAACTCTGCTTCAACAACACCATACATAAATAATTTCATACATGTTAAGCAGGGTTTTGAAGAGGATCAAAATTTTGCCAAGGAAAAAACCCTTTGCCAAGGGTAGGATATTACCAGTAGAGGGAACAACTCAAAGGCCCAAATGTGTAAAAAAGGAATTAAGTAGTTTGATATTACTGGAGTATAAAATCTGAGGAAGAACAGCAATAGGGGATGAAGAAGGAAAAATAAACTGAAGTTAGATAACTAGGACTTAATCCTGTAGTATTTTAATAAGGAGCCAAAAGAGATCAGAATTGTGTTTTAAAAAGACCACTCTATGGAACAACCCAAATATTCATCAACTGATAAATGGATAAATAAAATGTGCTATATCCATACAATGGAATTATTAAGCAATAAAAAGGAATACAATACCGATACATTCTATGACATGGATGAACTTCTAAAACTTTATACTAAGAAAAAGAAACGATTCATAAAAGGCCACATATTGCATGATTCCATTTATAGGAAATGTCCAGAATAGGCAAACCTACAGAAACAGAAAGCAAGTTAGTCGTTACCTAGGGAGGGAGAGCAGGGAAGGTTAAGGACAAAAGGAGAGTGACTACTAACAAACACAGCTTTTTTGGGGAGGTGATGAAAATGTTCTATAATTGTTTGTGGTGGTGACTGCACAAATCCGAGAATATACTAAAAATCACTGAATAGTACGCTTTAAGTGGGTGATTGTATGGTATGTGAATTATATCTCAATAAAACTGCCAAATTAAGAAAATATTATTCTCATGGCTATATAGAGAATGGAGTCAAGAGGGGTCAAGACTGGAGTAAAAAAAAAAACCAAAAAAAACCTGTTAGGAAATTTAACAGTTTATGTGGAAGATGATGAGGGTCTAAGCTATGAAACAGGCAGTAGTGACAAAGAGGAGAGATGAATTCAAGAGATACTTGGAAGGTAAGACAAAGAGAATTTACTAGCTACCTAGATAAAGGAGTGATGGAATCTTGAAATTTCTGGCTTCGGTGTCAGGATGAAGGATTTGTGTTACTACCTCTATTTCCTATTAATATGAGATAGGAAGTATAAAAAGAAGAGCAGATTTAGGATGAAAGATATATCCATTTCAGATATGCTGAGTTTGAGATGCCTGTAATATACGAAGATGACACTGTCTAGTATATAGTTGTCTAGAGGTGCCTTAAGCTAGGGCGAGAAAACTTAGAATGTAGATTTGAGAGTCGGGAGTAGAGAGGGAGTAGTTAAAACGATGAAATTGGATGTGGCTGTCTGGAAAAGCATATAAAGTAAGGCACAGGCCAAGAATGAAGCTCTGGGTAACACATGTATTTTAGGGTCAGGCTACAAATAAGTCTGTGTGTAGACGCAATTAGCATTTTATTGAGCAATTCCTCTATGTGGTGGGCCCATGCTAGGTGGTACTTTGTTTCAAAACCTTTATACACCATCCTATTTAGTCCTCAAAACAATTTCTCAAGGCAAGGTAACTGATACTGGTCATTTTAAATTTACAGATTAGGAGATGGGGATAAGGGATATTAAATATTTGTGTAAGGTCTCAGGGCTAAAAGTGACTGTGCTGAAATAACTAGAATCCAGGTCTGATTCCAAGGTCAGACTTTTCCTACTTCACCACTCTTGCTTTCCACTGTCATACTATTCAGCACGGTTTTTCTGTACTGAACCGAGTATGCCTGTAACCGATTATTTAAAAAGCCAAAACGAGGGCGCCTGGCTGGCTCAGTCGCAGAGCGTGTGACTCCTGATCTCGGGGGTCGTGAGTTCGAGCCCCACGTTGGGTGTAGAGATTACCTTAAAAAATATAAGCAAATACAAAAATAAAGCCAAACGTTGTCGTGTATCTGAGCCTAATGTAACACTGTGTATACTTCAATTAAAAAACAGTAAGTAAAATAAATAGCCAAACTTCAAAGAGGTCATCAGACAGACGCTGCATGACCAGGTGGGATAAAAAGAGGAAGCAAGAGGTGACTTTATTTCCCTTTTAAGAGTTATCTTAAATAAACAGAGAATCATCTTTGGACAGGATGGCAGAGCTCAGAAGCCACGATCTCTGGGAACCAGAATCAGCTGAGGAAGTAATGAGAAACCCTATGATCAGACTTCTTCATATCTTAAAGATTTACATTCTAGCTGACAAGCCGACCGAGCAGACGAAGGCTGCCCGTCTTCTGGCTGATGTAGAATAGGCGACGAAGGCCAGCTTTGTCAGCGAGTTTCTCAGCGGAGAAGGGGCGAGAAGATCAGGGCCTTAGGCCTGGGGAAGAGGTGACTGTCCCAGGAATCCCAGAGACACCACCACTTTCACTTCCAGCAGCCCCTGGGAACCCAGACGCCAAGGGCCAGAACCCTCCCCTGCTCCCCTTACTTACTTTTTTGATATTGGACTTGGAGGCGGGATGAAAGTCCTTCTTGCACATGAAATTGGCGAAAGACTTCCCCATCCTAAAGCCTAAGGTGGGGAAGGTAGCCGCTAGACCTGTGAACAACGTAAACAAACACTGCCTCCTAACCGGAACTGCGCCGCCAGGGGGAGAGGGAATTTCCGCGGTCAAAGGTGACAGCTTCCGGCGACTAGAGCCTCCGCCTACCCCAGCACGCCGTTCCCCCTTTCATTGAGGGTAGGTCCTGGGGACGGGGGGAGGGGCTGAATGGGGGAGGGGCGTGAACTGGAGAGGGGCGTGCGTAGCGGAGGTGCGAAGTGGGCAGCCGAGCGGGGCCGCACGGGCGGGACCGAGGGGCTGTGGGAGGTGCCCGGGGTCTGAGGTGAGCGGGCTGCGGGCTGAGCGCCGCCAGCTGGGGTGTGGAGTGTGTGCTGGGTGGGAAGGGGTGTTTGAAGTCCGAGCCCTTTAGTCTGTGGACTCTGACTCGGGTTCCATGAAGTTTTCCGCATCGATTTTCTCGTCTGCGTTGTGAAAACAGTAATTCTCGCCCAAACTGTAGTACGTTCGTATGGATCAAACGATGTGATGTTTCTGAAAGCTCTTGGTGAACTAAAGCATAAAATAGAATGCCAACTCCACAAGAGCGAGGATTATATTTTGTTACCAGCTGTACGGTGTCTGGCTCAGAAAGATGTTCATAAACATTTGTTGAATGATGAATGCGTACTAGGAGTTCGTAAAGGCTCTCAAACCTTCCCTTTCTAAGTGGGCTAGGTGTTTTCCTAACTAGGTGGCATGTTTCCTTAGCTTCTCGTAGGACGCCAGTTAGACAGCACTGATCATCTAGTGCAGCTTGACGGCCCTTGAGACTCCAGGGTTTTCATTGGACGTGGCTGCTACCGCTGTAGGGGATCCACCAACCCAGTCCTCTCTCAGGGAGGCAGTGGGTGTGATAGCAAGAATAAACCTTTTGTGAGAAATTTACTCTTCTGTCCAATAATAACTATAACAGCTTTCTTTGCGTGTCTGATATGTGTCATGCACTATGCAAAAAAGCTTTACACATTGCCTTATTAAATTCTAATAACAGCCCCCTGAGATATTTACCGACGAGACAGAAGGCTTAGATAGGGATTAAATAGCCTGCCGAGGATATGCAGTGGTAGAAATAATTTTGGAACGCAAAGAAGAGGCGATCCAGGACATAAAGGTTGGAATTCACACAGAAAAGAACAGCAGCTATCGTATAACTGAGGAACTATCCATAGCTGAGGAAAAGAGACAAGTCTTAAGAATTCAGACTAAAGGTGTTTCTTTCTTACTTGAGTCATTTTGATTTTTTAATGAAACATTTATTAGATTTATGTTCTGTTTTTAAATTGCTAGCCTCTATTTGTATAAAGCCATCCTAAAGTTTGGGCATTATAAAATAAAGGAAAGCAGGAAACTCTAAAAAAAGTATATCCATTCTGGAAGCAAATATATTCTACCAAAATTGAGGATTTAAGATTTTCCAAATTACAAATGAAGACACAATCTTGATACTAAATTCTACAATCAGGATTTACAAGTTATGTATGTGAACTTCTTCCTGGAAATATCAACAAAAACAATGTTTTTGTATTTGTCTGATTCAGTGAGTTTTTAAAAATTGTAGTCGTCTCAGTATTATAATCTGTGTATTCTTCTCCAGCTCAGCATTATATTCTGAGTGTGTTCTTCTTGTTTGAGGAAATATTGGGACTTTTCATAAGTTCAGGTGATGAGAATACAAAGATTAATAAAGTGTACTCCCAGCCCTCAATGATCTTACTATCCAGAAGGAGACTCATATATGTGCACAGATATGGAAACTCATATGTGTACACAGATACGGTCTTCATAGCAGTAAAATGCAGGCTTCCCAAATATGGAAATAGTGAAAGGAGATTCAGGGAAGACTTCAGGAGAGAAAGATCTTAGAGGATAAATTTGACCTATAGACTAGAAGAAGATACTGGTCATTGCTATGTTCTTACTGATTCTTGTAGTACAAGATTCATTCCCAAGTCGTTTTCTTACTGATTTTTGTAGTACAGTATAAAGTTTAAACTTTAACGAACACCCTTTATTAGGTATGGCAATAACATCCATTGGTCATCAAGTAAAATTCTTTGTTTTGTATGTACTAAAAATGTTTTTCTCCTTTTACTTTGAATCTTCTATATGTTTTTTAGTTTTTTAAAAAATGGAAACTTGTTCCTGTGATACTTTTGTGGCATTACCTCCAGCAACTGTTGGTAACGGGATTATTTTTGGAAAAAATTCAGATAGATTGTGCGATGAAGTACAGGAGGTAGTTTATTTTCCTGCTGCAGTTCATGATAACCCGAGAGAACATCTTCAGGTGGGTGAAGTACATGTTTTGTTAGCAATAGTTTTCTTTAAAAAATATCATAAACAGCTTTTTTAAAAAAAATAATTACCTAGCTATTTGGCAGGGACTATAGAAGTTAAAAATTCAAGGATTTAAATTTGAAAAATAATTTGAGTCAGAACTAGATTTCTGGTCTTATATTTCAATGATTTGGAGGAAGCTGAAATAACAATAAAAATAATTGTTAATTCTTTGATCAAATATTTGAATGTTTATCATACACAAGCATGTCAAATAGGGCAAAGATTTAAAGCCTGCTGTCAAGACCAGTTCTGTCTTCCAGGAGCTTAGGGTCTAGTAGAGGAATAGGATGTGTATGTAACTAACCCTATTATAAAGTAGGGTGGTTTAAATGCTAAATTTAAGTAAGAGCAACAAGTTGTGACAGCAGTGGAGAAGGAGCAGTTAATTCAGACTAGAGAATCAAGGAAGTCTTCACCAGGAGCTGGGGTTTCAGCTGGAGTTTGATGGACAGAAAGTATTCTGATTGGTATAGAATAGAGAAAGTCATTCCAGTCTCTAGAAGTAACAATTTTATCATTAAAAAAGGCTAATGGGGCCCTGTGATAATACTATTAACATGCATTTTATGCAGTCCATTTGGTAGTATACACATTAATTAAAGGATCCTTTAAAAATTATTAAAAATCTATTCAACATGGAACTTAAAATGTTTCACATTATGCTTTTATTGCTGTTATGTATTTTTCAGATTTCATTTTATTGCTATTCTAATACTAAAATATATTAAATATTAGATGTTTTCTGTATACAGGCCTTTTTTTTTTTTGTGAGACTATTCATTTTAGATCCATTTCCACTTTCTCTCTTTATGTTTAAATTTCTCCTATTCTGTAAACCAGTGGTTCTTATTCTTTATACTACTACTATACTACTTTATACTACAGTATATATATATATATATATATACACACACACACACACACATATATATATATATACTATAAATATATACATCCATCACACCAGATGGGTGACTTCCACAGGTTACATAGGCTTCTATAGCAATTCTCTTGTATATAAGGGCTACCATATGGGACTTATGTCACTAATTAAGAAATACTGAACATTGAGATTGAGATCCATTCCCTTTAAGCTTCAACTGAATACATCTTCCTCTACAAAATGTTTCAAGATTTCACAACTAGAAACTCTCTCTCCTGAGCTTACGTTAACACCTCACTTTTACTTTTCTTAATGGCCCTTACACTTTACATTTTTGTTGTATTTTAGTTAGTGTAAAAGTCTTAGTTTCTCGAAAGCAAGATCTGTATCTGATTCATCTTTATAACTAATATATCTCTTAGCAGAGTGCTTTGTAGTAAGAGATGCTTAATAAATATTTGAATGAATAAAAGCTTTAGGGTCAATTCTGAAGATGTTTTAAGGGTAATAATTTTATTATAGAAAATTTTAAGTTAGTTATACTTTATTTCATAATGGGCATGTCTTCTGCTTGATTTGTAAGATTCCGAAACTTGATAACTTTTTCTTTTTTGGTTTTATAGTTGTTGCTATGATTTTCTTTACAGTGTACTTACATAGAAATTGATCAAGTTCCTGAAACATATGCTGTTGTCCTTAGTCGCCCAGCTTGGTTATGGGGGGCAGAAATGGGAGCCAATGAGCATGGAGTTTGCATTGGGAATGAAGCTGTATGGGGAAGAGAAGAAGTTTGTGATGAAGAGGCACTACTGGGCATGGACCTTGTCAGGTTATTTTTTAATTATAGTTTTTCAGTATAGAACTTGTCTAACACTCTTACAAGTTTTATTTTCCTATTTTTCCCATATTTTGGACATTGATACTTTATAGTTTGTGTTAAAATGCTTCAGAGTACAGACATACCTCATCTTATTATGCCTTGCCTTATTGCACTTCACAGATATTGCAGTTTTTACAAATTGAAGGGTTGTGGCAATGGTATGCCAGGCAAGTGTATCAGCACCATTTTTCCAACAGCATTTGCGCACTTTGTGTCTCTGTGTCACATTTTGGTAATTCTCACAATATTTCAAACTTTTTATTATTATTATATTTGTTATGGTGATCTGTAATTAGTGATTATAACTTGGTGAAAGCTCAGATAATGGTTAGCATTTTTTTAGCAAGAAAGTATTTTTAAATTAAAGTATGTAATTGTTTTTTTAGGCATAATGCTGTGGCACACTTAATAAACTATAGTATAGTGTGAACATAACTTTTATATACACTGGGGAACCAAAAAATTCATTTGACTCGCTTTTTGTGATATTCGTTTTATTCCAGTGATCTGGAACTGAACCTGCAGTATTTCCAAAATATGCTTATATATGCATGTAATTTGCAGACTCAAAGATCATTAATTGGGAGAAGGGAAGGAGTTGAAAATTATGATTCATTTATATGAATTATATGAAGTACCTAACATACTTTATCAGACCTTAATTAATTCTCACAGTAACCTCATGGGCTATATATTATTATCCTCATTTTATAGTTGGACATTGATCTATGATTCCAAAGACTTTGTTTTCATGATTCCAAACTGACTTCGGAAGGAATGGCTTAGAAGTTGGATTTCAGTTTATCCATTAACTTGAAAGAACTTTTGCTTTGAATATAAACAAAAAATCTCATGTGCATGAAATTATTTAAGAGAAATGATGGAAATTTATTTTAATCTGAGAACTTTTATATTTTTATTTTAGACTTGGCCTTGAAAGAGCTGATACAGCTGAAAAAGCCCTCAATGTCATTGTTGATCTATTAGAAAAATATGGCCAGGGTGAAAATTGTTCAGAGAGTACGATGGTATTTAGCTATCACAATAGTTTCCTGATAGCTGATAGGAATGAAGCCTGGATTCTGGAGACTGCAGGGAAGTACTGGGCTGCAGAAAAAGTACGAGGTATGGACAACTTTTCATGATTTGTTTTTTTTTTTAATTTGTCTTATAATTAATAAAATAACCCCCTTAACTGCAGACATTGCATTTAATTGTTTCTCAAGATTTATAATCCAGTGCAATGAAGGGTTGAACTTCAGGGGAAATGAAAAAATTTGAAAGAATGTTAAGAGTGAAAGAGCACTACAAGGGGCTTTTCTGAAAAAGAGAAAAAGTGTTCTCTCTTTTCCATATTATGATATTAATTTTATATAACCTGTATATATTTTCTGTGCTGCATCTCTTGGTTGTTTTAGTACTTTTTTTTTTTTTAAGATTTTATTTATTTATTTGAGAGAGAGAATGAGAGATAGAAAGCACAAGAGGGAAGAGGGTCAGAGGGAGAAGCAGACTCCCTGCTGAGCAGGAAGCCTGATGTGGGACTCGATCCTGCGACTCCAGGATCATGACCTGAGCCAAAGGCAGTCGCTTAACCAACTGAGCCACCCAGGCACCCTGTTTTAGTACTTTTCTACTTCTTAATAACCCCTTGCCATTTCTTCCTCTTTTAACTTTGGGGTGAACTCAAACATTTTATTGCCTGTGGATATGGAGGTGAGAAAGGGGGAGTGCTTCTGGGGATTGGTATCTGTTAGTTAGTGGCTGGAAAGAATATGTTGATACAATAGTAAAGAGTAAATATTGAGTAAAATAACAATTTGATTGTTTTAGGATGCTTTGCATGCATTTTTTTCATGGTTTCTTTGTGACCATATATTCCTTTCATTTCTCAAGTGACGAAATCTGGAGATGTGAAGTGCTTTACTTGAGGCAGCGATTGAAAGACTTAGAATTTAAATCTTTCCATCCTGACTCTCAGTTCAATATTCTTTCGTTAGAGTACAGCCTTGTACTCAAGCATGATCATGTACCTTTTATGTACTTACCTCCTGGATCTCCTAGTTTTACAGGAGAGATAATTTGCATATGTAAAATATTAAATGCCTGAATGATTCAGGCACATAGATGATGTGAACATTTAGAGAAAGGAAAAGTCATTGTGGGCTGGAGAAATTCAGAAAGTCTTCATGAAGGTAGCCTCGAGCTTTGGAGGATTTGGATGTTATTTTTCAAAATAAGTCCTTGCCAGTTGTTTTGATGACATTTTATTTTATATTTTGCCTGTTTTTATTTTGTATAATATATAAAATTGAATTTAGACTATTTTCTTACTTTATAATTGGCCTGATTGTACCACTAGCACTCTTTATTTTATTAAGTGTGCTAAATGCAAGAGAGAAATGAATAAATGTATTCTCTTGAGAAAGATAGCCCTACCTAGCCATTCAAAATGAACACCTTCATTGAGTGTAATCATCCAGTTGTAGATTAACTTTTCCAACTGGTTTCTCTTCCTATTACTAAATGAGCCCAAGAACTACATAATTAAATTTTAGTGAATTATCTATTAGATGGAAAACTCCTCTTCCCTGTCTGATTCTATCATGATGTTATTCCGGTTTTTGTAGTGAGAATATCCCAAGTATGACTTTGTTAGAGTAATTTAATTGATTTCTGCTTAGCAGACTGTTATTCTTTTTTTTTTAAATTTTATCAAATCTGTTTTTTTTTTTAAAGATTTTATTTATTGGGGCGCCTGGGTGGCTCAGTCATTAAGCGTCTGCCTTCGGCTCAGGTCATGATCCCAGGGTTCTGGGATCAAGCCCACATCGGGCTCCCTGCTCAGTGGGAAACCTGCTTCTCCCTCTGCCGCTCCCCCTGCTTGTGTTCCCTCTCTCGCTGTGTCTCTCTCTGTCAAATAAATAAATCTCAAAACTCAACAGTAAAAAGACAATCCAACCAGAAAAATGAGCAAAAGACAGGAAGATACATTTCACCTAAAGGGATATACAGATGTCAAAAAAGCACATGAAATGTTCAATATCATTAGCTATTAGGGAAATGCAAACTAAAGCCACAATGAGCTATCTCTGTACTTATATCAAAAGAGTTAAAATTTTTTAAATGACACTACTAAACACTGGTGAGAAGGTGGAGAATGGATCACTTAATCATTGCTGGTAAGAGTGTGTAGCTACTCTGGAAAACAGTTTGGCAGTTTTTTAAAAAAACTAAATACACAACTACCATACCACCCAGCAATTGCAATCTTGTGCATTTATCTCAGAAACTTACATTCACACAAGAACCTGTACGCAAATATTTATAACAGCTTTCTCCATGATAGCCAAAAACTAGAAACAACCCAGATGTCCTTTAACTTGTGAATGGTTAAACAAACTGGTATACACCATGGAATAATACTCAGCAATAAAAAGGAATGAACTATTGATATATGTAATAACCTGGATCAATCTTTAGAGAATGCTGTCAAGTGAGAAAAGAAAAAAAAGGTTATATGCCATATGATTTCATTTGTGTAATATTCTTGAAATGACAGTAATAGAAATGGATAACAGACTAGTGGTTGCCTGGGTTTAATGAGGGTTTAGTGGGGGTAGATAAGTGGGTGTGCCCATAGGAGGGCAACGTGAGTGATCTTTGTGGAGATGGAAATATTCTATATCTTGACTGTATCAATACCAGTAGTTTAGCTGTGCTATTATACAAGATGTTACCACTGGGGGACACTGTGTAATGGGTACACAGGATCTCTGTATTACTTCTTACAACTGCATGTGAATCTACAATTATCTCAAAATAAAAAGTTTAAAAAGTTTAATTAAAATAATTCATTTATCTTTTTAGAGGCAGGGAGAGAGAGGGAGAGAGAAAGAGCACAAGCAGAGCAGAGGGGAGTAGAAGGGACAGAGGAAGAGGGAGAGAGAGAATCTTAAGCAGGTTCCACACCCAGCGCAAAGCCCGATGCAGGTCTGTCTCATGATCCCGAGATCATGACCTGAGTTGAAATCAAAAGTCAGACACTTACCTGAGCAAGCCACCCAAGCACCCCTATTTATCTTTTTGAGTATGTAATAGATGAGATGCGCATGGTACAAAATTTAGAAGTCTATATTCGCATTTTAAATAGTGATTAAGAATCATAATGTACAGATAAATATAACATGTTAAATGCAATTTTTCTTTTCCCTTCCCCTCTTCTTCTTTAAAAATAGAGGGAGTTCGTAATATTTCTAATCAGCTTTCTATAACAATCAAGATTGATCGGGAACATCCAGACATGAGAAACTATGCTAAGCAGAAAGGTTGGTGGGATGGTAAAAAGGAGTTTGATTTTGCTGCAACATACTTTTATCTTGACACAGCCAAGATGATGATTTCACCAGGCAGATACTGTGAAGGCTACAAGCTTCTGAATAAACACAAAGGTAATTTTATCACTGAAATAATATCAGAATGAAAAATTATATTTTGCCTGGGTATAATGTGGGTACGATAAAATCTGGTTTTGAAGGAATTATTCTTAGTGAAGATACAGTTTTATTAAACTGAAATTTTGTAAACTAATATAAGCTTTTTTTCTTGAGATGAGTGAAGTGCTATATAATTCTGAGAGGATAATAATACTTTTTGAATGACAGGTTCAGATTCACAATCCTCAGACCCCTTTTTTCAGTTTTTACTAATATTCTTAAACAAAATTGGGATTATTTTTCTTCTCAGAAATTATTGGAATATGGAGACGGGTTTCTTTAATTTGTCTTTTGATAATACTCTTATTGGTTATTTTCTTACTAAAAAAGTTATATCTAGAACTAGTTGAGAATTTTAAGTGAGCAGATGTAAGAATTCCCTCTTCTCAATTCTAGAAATACTGAATAAAATATTTAAACATTAAGGATATATATAGTTAGGTCGAACACAAGAAAAGGAAATCACCAACTACCAAAAATGAAGAGAGAACCCATAGTGTTGGCAAGATTTGAGGTGTCTCTTCCTCATATAGTTCTCCTATCTGTATCAAAGAGGGGATTCTGGACCAGATATAAGCCTTAAAGGATAGTTCTAACATCCATGAGAAGGTAGGTGTCTAGGTGAAGACCTATTTGGGGAGCAGGAACTGGACTACTTACCAAGATTATGAATCTGAAAAATGCAATTCTGCTCCCTTCCCAGAGTCCCAGCCTGGAATTGAGCTGTCTGTTGTCTCAGGCTATGGGTCAGCACAGTCTCTGGTGAGAGATTGAACTCGAAGCTAAATGTATTTGGTAGGCTCAGCTGGAGCTACCTGTGCTGTGCTGAGAAACAAACACTGGTTGAACCAGTAAATCCCACAGGATCTCAACATACCTGTGTCTCTATAGTCACTATGTGAATATTTGATATGATAGATATTCAGATTTTACTCAAATTTCCTATCCAAATGAGAAATTTGCCATAATGAATCTACATGTAACTGCCATAGAAAACATTTAAGTTATGTGGACACTGAGATAAAAGGATGTAGTTTCTACATTTACTATGGATAGTTTCTATTATGTCCTCAAGTTTACTGACCTTTTCTTCTGCATTATCTAATCTGCTGTTAATCTCATCTAGTGATACTACATTTCAGTTATTATGTTTTTTATCTCTATATGTTCCATTTTGTACTTTTTGTGTATATTTCCCATTTCTCTATTAATGACTTTCATGGTTTTTTTTTCGATGAGTATATTCAGCACATACCTGTTTTATAATAGCTGTTTTAGCCTCACTGTCTGCTAACTCCATTATCTCTGCAATTTCTGGATCTGTTTCTGTTGATCTGATTTTCTTCTGGTTTAGGGTCAAATTTTCTGCTTATTCATGTGTCTGGTAATTTTTAATTGGATAGTAGACATTGTAAATTTTATTTGTTGCATGCTGGATTTTGTTTTATTCCTTTAAAGAGTGTTGGACTTATATTAGTTAAGTAACTGTTTTTAAGCTTTTCTAGGATAGCTCTAGAGTAGCCTTTACTCTAGGGCTGGTTTGGTACCACTACTAAGGGATGTGATCCTTCTGGATATTGTGATCATTATGCCTTTACTGATTTTTTTTTAATTATTGTATATATTAATGAGAGAGGAATGTGAAAATCTCCAGTTATATTTATGGAATTGTGTGTTTTTGCTTTGTATTTTGAAGCTCTATTGTTAAGTACATACACATTTATAATTGTTAAGTCTTCCTGGTGAATTGGCCCTTTTGCCTTTATGAAACATTATTTCTCATGGTAATGATCATTTTCTTGAAGTCAGTTTTAGCCCAGTCTTCTGCTTACTGTTTACATGACATATACTTACCTATCATTTGCTTTCAAACTATCAGTATTCAGACTATCAGTGCATTTCTTATAAAAAGCATATAGTTTGATCTTTTCTTTTTTAAAACCATTCTAATAAGTTCTGCCTTTTAATTAGAATCTATAGTTCATTAGAAATTTTATCATTGAAAAACACAATACCAAGGTAAAAATTAACTCAGTAGGCTCAATAGCAGAATGGAGATGACAGAGGAAAGAGTCAGTGGACATGAAGATAGATCAGTAGAAATTGTCTAATCTGAACAACAGAAGTTGAAGCAAGCAAACAAAAAGAACAGGGTCTTAGGGACTGTGGAATAGTACCCAGATGTCTAAAATTCATGTCATTAGATTCTCAGAAGGAGAGAATGGTGTGATGCAGAAAAATTTTTGAATAATGGCTGAAACCTTGTCAAAATGGCAAAAGACTTAAGCTTACAGATTCAGGAGAGGTAGAAATCTCAAACAAGATAAACTCAAATCCATGCCTAAATGCACAAATTGCTAAAAACCAAAGACAAAGAAAAAAGTCTTGAAAGCAGCTAAAGAAAAACAAATTACATGCAGGTAAAAAAATGATTTCTGCGAGTTTATCATTATAAACCATGGATGCCTAAAGGCAGTGAAACATTTTTAAAATTCTAAAAAGATCTGTCAAACCAGAATTCTATACTCAGCCAAAATATTCTTCAGGAATGAAGGAGAAATAAAAATATCCTGATATGTAGGAGAATTAAGAGACTTTGTTTCCAATAGACTGATCTAAAAGAAATTTTAAAGGAAGTTTTTTAGATATAAAGGAAATGATACCACAGTGAAACATGGAACTTTAAGAATGAAGGAAGAGCCACAAAAATGAGAAATATCTGGGTAAATATAACTATGTTTCTCCTCTTAAGACTTTAAAAATATGTCTGACAGTTAAAAGCTAACATTACATTTCCTATAATACACAATTACCTCAGTATAAAGAGGGGAGTACATAGAGACCTGTATGGTGGTAAGATTTCTACATGCTCCTTGAAGTTTTAAAATATTAATTCTAGTAAATGGAAAAGTTAAGTATGTATATTGTAATCCTAGATCAACTTTTTTTTTAACTAAAACAGTTGACAGTTTTTTTTTTAAATTTTATTTATTTATTTGAGAGAGAGAGAATGAGAGACAGAGAGCACAAGAGGGAAGAGGGTCAGAGGGAGAAAGAGACTTCCCGCCGAGCAGGGAGCCCGATATGGGACTTGATCCCGGGACTCCAGGATCATGACCTGAGTCGAAGGTAGTCGCTTAACCAACTGAGCCACCCAGGCGTCCAACAGTTGACAGTTTTATTTTCACATTTCACAATACAAATGAAAATTGCTCTTTTTTTTTTGTCCCACTACTCCCTGGCAAAAACTATTCTCTCTTTGATGGGAAGGGGGAGCAAGTCTTCCTTGTCCTGGGAAAACACCTAGAGTCACAGTACTATGATCTCCTGGTGAAGCAGAACAAGTAATATAAAACGAATATAAAGAGGTTCCTGTCTCTTATCTGTCTGGTCGAGTCATTCCTGGCCGAGTGGGCACCATCATGGGACGGGCAGGAGGTCTCAAAATTGGGGGCCCAGGCATCATTGGCATGTGGCCTCCCATAGGTGGCCTCATTCCAGGAGCAGATCCCACTGGCATCATCCCAGGAGGAGGAGGCCCATCATTGGCATCATGGGAGGCCCCCCCTATGGCGTGCTGGGATCATACCAGGGCAAGGAGGACGCGGGAGTCTGGGGGGAGGTGGGATCATTGCCCCTGCAGGAGGAGGAGCAGAGAATGGAGTAGGAGGTATCTTTCCTTGTTGAAATGCAGTGGTTGTTTTGTTGATCAGGCTCTGAGCCTGCTCTTCCATCCATTTCTGATAGTAGTCTTTCACATTCTGTTTGTGATTCCTACCACTGCAGTGTATCTTTCTCACAGATGGAGAGTCATGGGTGAGGTATGTGTGGCAGTAGTCACAATAAAACTTAGGCATGTTGCTCTGCAGGCCCCTAGATCAACTTTTTAAAAAACTACATAATAAGATATAGAACAAAGTTGAACAGATAAATTAAAATAGAGTACTAAGAAAATATTCAAAAATAAGGCGAGAAAGGGGAAATGGAGGAAAAACAAACCAGAAGGATCAAACGGAAAACAAACAATATAATGTAGACCTGAATTCCAACATATCTATAAGTATAAATGTTCTAAGCACACCAATTAAAAGAGCATGTGAAAGTGAATTTAAAAAACAAAACAAGACTCAGCTATTGCTATATATAAATAACTTAAGGTGAAAAGTAAAAGGATGGGAGAAGATATATCTTGTAAACACTCATCAAAAGACAGCTGGGCTGGCTATATAAATATTAGATGAATTAGACTTTAGAGCAAGAAATTATCAGGAAGAAAGAGGGATACTACATAATCTAAAAAGGTCATTTTAATGGGATTATTATGTCTCCATGGTAAATGTATATGCTTCTAACAACAAAGCTTCCAAATATATGAAGCAAGAACTGATAGAACTGAAAAGAGAAATAGACAATTTCACAATTATAATTGGAGACTTCAATACTTCTCAGTTATCAGAAGAACTACTAGACAGGAAATCTGCAAGGATATAAAAAAACTGAACAATACCATCAACCACTGGTATATCTAATCCATTATTTATAGGATACTCCACCCCACAACAATGTAATACACAGTCTTTTCAAGTGCACATCAAACATACACCAAGGTTGTCCATATCCTGGGTCATAAAACAAATCTTACCAAATTTAAAAGAAACATAACAATGTATGATTTCTGGTGATAATGAAATTAAATTTGAAATCAATTATAGAAGGATATCTACAAAGTCCCCCAAATACTTGGAAATTACACATTTTTAACCAATGGGTCAGAAAAGAAGTCTCGAGGGAAATTAGAAAATATTTTGAGGGAAAAAAAAGAAAATATTTTGAGGGGAATGAAGTGAAAATGAATATACCAAAATTTGTGGGATGCAGCAAAGGTAGTGCTAACAGGGAAATTTATAGCATTTAATGCTTGGAGTTGATAATAAGAAATTAATATAATATAATAT